TTTCAGCTGCTTTTTGATACCAATAAAAGGCCTTTTCTAAATTTTTTTCTATTCCTTTACCAAAATAATATAAATTTGCAAAATTATTTTGTGCATCTGCATTATTATTTTCAGCAGCTTTTTGATACCAATAAATGGCTTCTTTTAAATTTCTTTCTGTTCCTTTTCCATTTTTATATAATAATGCAAGATTATTTTGTGCATCTGCATTATTATTTTTAGCTGCTTTTTGATACTAATAAAAGGCTTTTTCTAAATTTTTTTCTATTCCTTCTCCATTTTCATATAATAATGCAAGTTTATATTGTGCTATAATATTGTTATTTTCAACTGCTTTTTGATACCAATAAAAGGCTTTTTCAAATTCTTTTCTATTCCTTTACCTTTATAATACAAGTTTGCAAAATTAATTTGTGCATCTGTATTATTATTTTCTGCTGCTTTTTGAAAGTGATAAAATGCTTTTTTATAATTTTTTTTGTTCTTATTCCATTATAATTATTTAAACCAATTAACCTTATAGTTTCAAAATATACTGTTATATAAAATTTATTTTTTGGGATATTTATTTCAATATTTAAATTATAATACTTTTTTAAAGTATCCTTAGCAATAATATTTCCATTTTTTGATGCTTTATTATACCAGTTTAAAGCTTGATTTTGATATTTTCTATTTCTGTTCCAATTCCATTTAAAAAATTATTTCCAAGTTGATATTGTGCATCAGCAATTTCTTGTTTGGCTAATATTTCATAATATTTAAATGCTTTAATTTCATCCTTTTCAACTCCTTTTCCTAATCTAAAACAATCAGCTAAATGAAGTTTTGCTATTTTATTTCCATTCTTAGCTGCTTTATAATACCAATAAACTGCTTTCTTTTTATTTTGCTGAGTTCCGATACTATATTCATAGCAATGTCTTAAATAAAACTGTCCTAAGATACTTCCATTTTCTACAGATTTCTTATACCATTTAAATGACAGTATTTTATCACATTCAATTCCATAACCATTATAATAGCATTTTGCAAGATAAATTTGTGAAATTGAATAATTTTCTTTTGCTGCTTTTAAAAATAATTCATATACTTTAACATTATCTTTATCAATACCAATATTTAAATAATAAAATAATCTAAGCAACCATATATATTGTGAACTTTGCTGCTTATGTAGCCAAATCAAAAGACTTTCTACTTGATTTTATCGTGAGATTTTTTGTTTAATAAAATGCCTAATCTGATCATATATATTACCTTCATTATATTTCTTTATTACAAATTTAATTAATCTATCAACAGTTAAATTATTTATAAATATAGAATGTATTGAGTCTCTTGATTGATTATTAACATGAAAAATTGAAGATAAGTGATTTTTTAAATCTGTTATACTTGAATGAATAGATATTTTACTTTGCAAACTTGAATTGTTTACATTATCATTCTTATAAAAATCTGCTATTTCTAATTTCTCTAAATCCTCCTCTCTTTCTTTGCTTGATTTTAAACTAGATTTATTTTTTGTTGTCAAATTAATTAATGAATTACTTTTGAAATATGTTATATTTGATTGAGAAGATTGTATACTTTGTATACTCGAATTGCTTTTATTAATATTATTATAAAAATCAACTTCTTCAGGTAATTCTAAATCACCTAATTCCTCATCTATTTCTTTACTTGATTTAAAGCTAGATTTACCTTTTATTGGTAATTCATCTTCAATAAGATTAGCATCAATAATTTCACCATTATCAAGGAAAATAATTGTTTTAAGAGTTGAAACGATATTCTGCATATTTGGACGCTCATCAGATTCATATTTCCAACATTCTAATTGAATTAATAGGATTAGATTTCGTTTTTAAAAATAAAAAATTAATATTTATATTATTTACCTTGATATAAATCACTATATTTAGGTGGTGTTTCATTAATAATTTTTTCTCTTTCGCCATTTAATATAGGCAGAATTAAATCTTCATCATAATTAACATCCTTAAATGGTTGATATCCGCTTGAAATTTGCCACATCAAGATTCCAATACTATATACATCAGATTTTTTATTTAATTTGTAATCCTTACTTTTATCTAAACTTTTTGGATCCATATAAGGTAATATACCAAGAACTTTCGATGCGATTCTTGATTCGTCAGCAATTTTTTTTGATAAACCAAAATCTGCTAATTTAATCTTTTTCTGATGTATAAGAATATTATTTGCATGCTATAATTTTGTTAATGAACAAAATATTTAATTATTCAAAGTTAATAAAATAAAAATAATTGATTTTCATAAAAAATGTTGACAGTCACCAGATCGCAATGAATTATATCACAATTGTGTATGAACTCTACGGCACTTGCCAATTGTAAAGCTAGCTGATATTTGTCATTCCAATCAAGGTCATTAAAATGTTTATTTAAGTAAGTATTTAATGTTCCGCCGTCAGCATATTCCAAAACTAAAGAATACTGGTGGATAGAGTTTTCTATCGATAAAAAAAAGAAAATTTTAAAATGTTTGTCAAAAGTTCTGTAAATATGTAACTAATATTTACCAGTTCTTTCCCTTGTGATACCAGAAAACATAATAATGTTTGGATGAAAATGAACTCTTATATGTAATTTTATCTAAAAAGAATTTAAAGAAAATTAATTTCGATATGGTTAACAAACTTTTAAATATTATAGTACCTCATTTACAACTTCTTTTAAAGTTATCGTATCGTCATTAAAAGATTTCAAAGCACAATAACTATCCATATTTTTCCAATTCGCACGCATAACTTTTCCAAATGAGCCATTCCCGATTATTTGTAAATTGTTGAAGTCCGAATATTCATAATGGTTGAAATATTCTTCAGAAATCGATTTTTCTAACCAATCGATATAAATATTTGATATTTCAGGGTTATTTGACATTTCTTTTATATTTCTTTAATAAAATTTAATTACCCTTTAAATAAAAAAAAAAATCTTTTCGGATTTCAAATTCCGATGCAGAGTAACCCACATGATTTGTAAATCTGCGCCATTTTGTTCAACGAAGAAAATTCTTTTTAAATGACCTTATCATCTAAATCTGTTATTGCATTAATTTTCGTTCGCATATACGCTTTTTTAAAACATAATGTGGCGACCAAAAAAAGAAATTACATGGACCTTTAGTCAAAAAATGGGTCATGAACTAGCAAAATGTAATATCTCACTTTTTGAGTAATGTATTGATCGTCATAAAATATTAATGCAATATGAAGATCAATTTTGTATGTTTACATTTTGCTAGTCCATGACCCGATATTTAAGCATCGAGAAATAATTCGGTTTACTAGATCGAAATGTTGTTCACTTTGAGGATATCATTATTTTACAATACTCAAAAACTCTCTCAATCTCCTTTTAAAGAGCTTGTCAGCCTATTAAAGGTCAAACGGTGACTTTCATTATATTAAAATGGTTGCTTTTTAATTTTACGAAAACTTTTAAAAAATTATTAACAAAATTGGATTCCATAATTTATATTTTACGAAGAAGATAAATAGACAGGAATGAAAAATTAATCGCGGTAATTTTTATACCCCGCCAGTCCTTAATATAAGTCGCAGAATGTTATTCAATTTAAGTTTGCATATCAAATTAACTTGAATAAACACCGATTTTTCATTTAGTCTGTTAGAAAAAAATGAAGTTAATAATCCAATTAATAAAGCTATACGAAATCCATTAAAAGAATTGAATCAAGAAAATCAAAATCAAAATCTGGAAGAATTGATTTCAAACTTAAATGCCAATAAAGAATTTTATCAATTCTGTTGTTATTTTAATGTTAATAATTCCGAAAAATAATATTATTAAGATTAATGTATTAGCAATCTAAATTATTTATTATAATAAATGCTTTAAATTTTCAAATGATATTATTCTATTAATTTTTTTTTTTTTTTTAACAATTATCGTAACTTTATTTATTTATTACTTTTTGGGTTCGATTATTCCAAATGTATTTTTTTTTTTAGTTTCATTTTCATTTTCGATGTTTTTAAAAATATTCTTTTATATAGATCCCCTTTCGGCTTTGCTTTTTTTTTTTTTAATTTAAAATTTTTTAATTTTTCATTTATACTTTTGGGTTCGATCGATGGTCGCGGCTGATTTTATTATTTTTGTTCATCTTTCGAGTTGGATCACTTCGGAAGGAATATGTAAAGTATTTTTTTTGATCATTCATTTTGTTATATTTAGGTTCAATCGCATTGTGCAGCGATCAAATTATATTTACGGTTTTTTTTTGTTTTTTTTTGTTTTTTACTTTTAGAACTTTTTCGATATATTTTTTTTATTTGATAAATAGTTGAACTTTCCACTGTGAATAGAAGTGGCGGAGGGTAGTTACGCCGTCCTATAGTCGCACTTACCGTGCCATTAAAAAGATGATTCCAATTCCTAGCGGAGGGTGCCAAAAAAACTGTCATCTTGAATAAAATACTTAGTCAGATGGTTTGTTTGAACCGACCTCGAATAAATGTTGGATCTGGTGCGGAATCTTGCAGCTTAAAATCCCGAAAGTAGTTTTTGTATTTTTGACATCGAGGTATAACTATAACGTGACGTGATAATAAACCGCCCATACTATGTATTTGATAAATGATTTTTGAAAAAAATAAAAAACTGGAAAATCATAAAGAGAGTTGTGTTAAATTTTAAATAATAAAATAAAAAAGTGGTTTTATATTAATGTTAAGGAGACTAAGGAGACCTAATTTATCTTTAATAAACGTATTGCATAAACCTTTTAACTATTCTTTGATTTTTATATAAACAAAATGAAAAATATTATAATTTATTTAAAATAAAATACTTTTACGCTAATTTTAGCGAAGTTAAACAATTAAAATATACATCTAAAAAACAATTGAAATGAAATAAAATGAATAATTTTCTATTCTCCACTTCACATAAAAAAAAAAAATTATAAATTTGTAAAAAAAACTATAGTTTGACCACAATATAAATTTCAATTATTTCAATAGTATAAACGATTTTTGTATTCAAGTTATTCTCATAATTACCGTAATTATTGTTAACGTGTAAATCACGATCTCTCATACACAACGATCCATGACCAAAATTAAACCCAGTAGAATAATGTTCTAATATAGCATGCCTATAATTTACCACCCGACTTATTTTCATATTCCGAGTGTCT